ATGTGTAGAGTCAGCTGCTCACTGGTACCAATGAATTTATGTAGTTATTTTGAAGTCAGTGAAACAAGATCATCTTACATCAGCTTACAGGGCTGTATTTTGTCTTTTTTCCCCTTGATTTTTAACACAGTCATCTGATTTAATGCTATTCCCTGAGTCCCAGCTGGCACGCGGGGAAGTGTTAGAAACACTGTGCTCAGTAGTGAGGTCTGTGAATGACTCGTCGTTTCCTGCCTGTTTCCACTGAGACTGGAGTACTTAATTTGCAGAATATGAGGAACATCCTCGTACCAGATTTCTAGGTGCTGAGTGTGTGTTCGGAGGAACAGCCTTTGTCCCAGTTGGAGTTGCCAGGTTTTGTATGGTTAAACTCTTCAGGGCTTAGGACCACGGGAGCTTTGCTTAGGAAAGACTGTCTTAATCTCTTCTCTCCTGCTAGAGAAGAGATGAAGCCAAGGTCTTTCAGCTTCAGCTAGCTGTTGGGTGTCCTAAACTACTATTTATCAACACAGGAGAATAAAAAAAAGGCAAAAGGCAATTCATATGAGCAAGGACTATAAAACTTCTTTGTAAGAGCTTTCTGAATCGTTCCCACTCGAAGGGCAGCTGGCCGAGATGGTGACTTTCCTGGAAATTCTGCTGTTTTGAACCTGGTTTTTGCCAAACCTTGCCAGCTGTAAATCAGGATCCCAGCTCACTTGTCCTAGCTTCTTAGGAGCGCAGGCTTTTCCAGGTGTTACTTTGGGAACTGACCCTGTACCAAGAAGCCTGCATTTCCTATGAATGTAATAAATATTAAAACAGGTCACAGATGTAACCCCAAGCTCTAGTGTTAAAATATTTGCAGTTCAAAACTTATTTCGTGGTGGGTAACTTTATACCTAGATATTAATATGCCACCCAGTGGAAGGCTTACACCGTAATTTTTAGGAGTGATCAATGTTTCCCCTTTTATTACTCTTTGTATTTTACAATTGCATTTCAGCGGTAGAGGGTAGAGTTTAGGATTTAACCGTTCATGTAAACTTAAATCACAAGATCAAAAACTTTACTGGAATGCCAGATCCAAAAAACCTGAAGTATTTTGTACTCCCTACTGCAGAAGTCGTACAGTTTAATAACAAACCAAATATTCAAAGACTTATTGGTGATGTGAATGCCATCAGAGACCACAAAATGAGAAAGTGCAAGGTGGTTTGCTACATGTTCAAAATATCTTCAGACACAGGAGGAGAGAGAAAAGAAAGCTATTTTAATATCACTTTCTGTTCTATGCTAGCAGATTAATTTGATGTTTACATAGAAAAATATTTCCTTTGAAGTCACCTACTTTATCGTAACATTTAAAACTATCTTTTTTAAAAATTGAAACTTACAATAACAACTTTGTCACTTTGACATTAGAAGGTATGTATGAGCAGTGAGACATTAATTTACTCACCAGCTTTACCATGTAGTTATGGAAATGCTGCAGTGCAAATGCTGTAGGACAGAGCCACACGTCGAACTTTCCGCAATACTTTCTATGGTTGTTTTCATCTGCAATGTCTAAATAAATCCCTTCCTTAGCGCACTCTGTACTCAAGACTTCAGTTGTGTATTACTGTTTGGAGCCTGCATAGAAGGTGTAGTCCTGAGAGATAAGTAAGTCTCATTGCTTTAATGCTCTCCTATCTTTTTCTTTTTTGCAGGGAAGGTGTGTTCTTCCCCATCTCACTCCTCCCCCCCGCTTTTTTTTTTTCTTTTTTTGGCTTTTACTTCTGGGTGCCTTTTAAACCATATTTCTATGTAAATTGTAAACAGTGTTTTGGGAATCTTCTTGTATTTGGTTTGATATTTTGTGGGACGGGTCCCTCGGATTTCCCATCCTGTGTATTAATCCCTTCCTGCCCCCGTCACCCCGCCCTAAACCTATTTTGTCTTGTGTTGATGTACCCTTTTCAGTTTCCGGGGTACTCGTTCAAAGATCAGATCCCTAACAGTAAACTGTAGACTTCTACTTTTTTTTTCTTCTCTAGAGAAGCAAGATACAAAACAACAAGAAGTCTTTTTTTTTTTTTTTCTTTTTTTTTCCCTCCAGATGAACCTTAATTTTTTTCCTCGTTCATTGTCCTCTTTGCTAATTACTGAGTCTGGCAAAATTACTCTTTGCAAACTGTTTTCTGGCTTCATTGCCGTCTGAGGTGCTACTACTGATCTTTGTAAAAGTACTGGTGATGTCAATAGTGTATGTCAAATAGCTGAAATTATTTCAGGCTACAGTATGTTAGCAAATAGCTTGCAAAGTTGCTCTAATCTTTCTTGCGCTTGCTGACCGCTAGTCCAATGACTAGTATAATGTACATTCCCTGACCTGTGCCAAAGAAAAATCTTAAAAGATAGGCAGATAGCGCATCTATATTTGTATGTGTTGTATTGCTCAGAGTGGTATTCATAGGAAGAAGTATTTCCTCGTAGCATTTGTGATTATTTTCTTGCATAGAAACGCAATCAGACATCCAGAACTAGACAAAGTTTGGTATTTGGTTATCTCTGCCCTCAGATTATTAGTTACCAAACATGTCTGTCTGTAAACCCAATGACAGCATTCCCAATGTGAGAGTCTACAAGTGCTGTTTCTGAAAATTTCCCTCACATTGATGGACTCTTTCCAGTGGAGAAGCAATGAAGTGCATGTGAATATAATTGTCTGGGGGAAAAAAACAAACAAACAAACAAACAAAACTCCAAAGTCTTCTGTAGGGATGTCTGATACTGGATTGTGTTGGGTGTTCTAAACATTAAACTTTTTTTTTTTTTAAGAACGGCATCTTTCTAGGTGAAAGTAGAAAATAATGTTGTGATAATAACATACGAGTTTTATAATATATGATCAAAAGAAAGTTTTCGAATTGTTGAAATCAGGCTGAAGGCACTTCCTATCTGTGTATTAGAAGTAACTCAGATTATTTATTACTTCCTATATTTCCTAATCAAGAAAATATATTTAATACTTAAGTTACATCTTAAAACAGACCGAGAAAACCAAGTGTGAGTGTCAAAATACTCCCGTGAATATGAAAGACTCGCTGTTCCTCTCTGCAGGTACGGCGAGGCAGTGAACAAGAACTTAGTGGTGGGCACCCTTTCGTGGCCCTCGCCGTGGGTCATTGTGATAGGATCCTTCTTCTCTACCTGCGGAGCAGGTTTACAGAGCCTTACCGGAGCCCCCCGGTTGCTGCAGGCGATAGCAAAGGACAACATCATTCCTTTCCTCTGGGTTCGCGTACATCCTAGGAAAAAAAAAAAAAAAAAGGCATTCTGTACATAGTAACTAACCAGCGATTTGACTTTATGCTCTTGGAAATCAGATTTATTTTCCCTAGTTTGCCCGGCATTGAAGTGAAGGTCGATATTTTTTATTTTAATGCTTTGTTTTCTTTTGTTAAGAAGTAGGAATATTTTTAAAGGCGTTTGAATAGACATATACGGTAATTTTATGAAGCAGTCTAACATCTAATTCAGTGAATCACAGAAAGCCATTAGAATAATTTGTCTCCTTGCTCTAGAGAAAAATGTATGTAGGAAAATTACTATCGTTTTTGAAAAGGTAATTTTTCATTATAACCTTATGAAATACTTGGAAGATATGCTTAATGTTTCTGTTTCTTCAGGTTTTTGGTCATGGAAAAGCGAATGGTGAACCGACATGGGCTCTTCTGTTAACAGCATTAATTGCCGAGCTGGGAATCCTTATTGCTTCACTTGACATGGTGGCTCCAATTCTCTCAATGTAAGAAACAAGGTGGTTGCTATTTAAGGGGGGGGTGGGGAGGGTGGAAGAAAAAAGTGATAGTCTTCTGAGTTTTGCTAATTTGATTGTCTTTCAGAATCATATCTTAAACCAGTAAAGCAAATTACTGTAGCCCGAGTTCCACTTTCATTATTTCTATGAATTCTCTGACTTCAGGCTCTGTGTATAAATATATTTGTTTCTGCTCTGGAGTAATCTGTGAATAAACATGTTTTTAGTATACTGTTATTTTGTTTGGGAAAATGTTATTTTTATCACAGAACAAAGATAGCGTTGATGGTGTGGATAGATCTAACTTGATCCCGTTAAAAAACTGTTCTAACTACTTTATACTGATAGTTCAGGCTAGTAAAAATCAGAGGGATAGTCACATGTGTCAGGGCAGCCGTATTTTGACTGTAAATCATTCGTGTGATTATAATACATGCCAGAATCTATAAATGTGTGTGCTAAAAGGTTTTGCACTTTTTTTGCTTCTGCAGGTTTTTCTTGATGTGTTACCTCTTTGTTAATCTAGCATGTGCAGTACAAACACTTCTTAGAACTCCAAACTGGCGGCCCCGATTTAAATACTATCACTGGTAAGCAAAAGGCCAGCATGCTCAATGCCTGGTCTGTAACCTACGGTGTGGGTTTTAGAAGAACTCTCTCCATGAGGGTTGTGGGCATCTTTTATTTCTCTGGATATCAGTGCTAGACCAGAGTACTTCAATGTAATATTCATAGCGGACCAGACCCAGATATTTAATGGCATAAGAGTTTCATTCCAACAACAGGATACTAAAACTACTGGGGACCGGAGAGATTCATTGGAAGCTTTACTTTCATTGTCAGTTCAGAACAGACAATTTAAAGAAAAAAGAGCAAGACAATAATTGACATGTTCTTAACCTTTTCTACCCCACTACTCACTGATACCTTTGCTTTTTGTTTCAGGGCCCTCTCATTTTTAGGCATGAGTATCTGCCTGGCGCTGATGTTCATTTCATCTTGGTATTATGCTTTGGTAGCTATGCTTATTGCAGGCATGATTTACAAGTACATTGAATACCAAGGGTAAGTATTAACTGGATAGAAAAGGGTAGGAAGGAGATAGGGTCTCTTTTTTATGAATTATTTCTAGCCTTCATGTTTGGAGAAAGAACTGTCCAGACGTATGACTTAGAGGGCTTCCCTTATTAGTTCATGTTTTTCATTGCTCTACTGTGTCAGCGCTTAACAAAAGCTCCTGAAGTGCTTTGTTGTTAAGCCTCTAAAGGTGTTTGGTGAAACTTGGGAGTCACAAGAAGCGGAAACCTCGTTAGGATCTATCCTTCTGCTGTCTATCACACATAATTACTTCAGGCCCCAAACACCTGAAGGCAGCCATTTTATTCCAATTTATCTGGTGCAAAGGTCTGTCTAGAACAATCCTTGAAAAGCTGAATTTGCAAGTTAGGTTGCCCGAGATTGTTAATATCTGATGGGGTCAGGCTGTAGTATGGCTGTATAACTTAATTTTAGCAAATCGGGTATTGAAATGCTTGATGTTTGTTTATGCTTGGGAAGCATTCTTTGTAGTGTAGTGTTGATTACAAATTAAACACAGAATGCTGGTGTTGTGGTATACGTATGACTGCAACATCTGCATTTCTCTCATGTGGTACATGGTAAGTATTATATACATACATGTTCAAATGATAAATATACATGTGATGCATGCTGTGTATCGCATTATTAAACTCATTATAAGATAATGATTTCTCTGTAGCAGGACTGTAAGTGTGCAACTAAATGCCCATGAAACCATATGTTGGCTAAATTGTGTGTTCTTCACAGTGCGGAGAAGGAATGGGGTGATGGTATCCGAGGTCTTTCACTCAGCGCAGCAAGATATGCTTTACTCAGACTGGAGGAGGGCCCTCCACACACAAAGAACTGGAGGTACTCGTTTTAGACTAATAAAATGCGCTGTCGCGATTATCTACGTTCAGGATTACAAGGAATTACACTGGACTCCCAACAAGATGCTTTTGGTCTGTGTGAATGAATTTAAATGCCCAGAATATTAAAAAAAAAAACAAACCCAAACCAAAACAGTGTTGAGTCTGCAGTAAGGTGCCCTGTCACTGCCCAAGCCCTACTGCGTGGGCCCTGTACGGGCAGACCTTTCTTGTCTTTTGGATCTTTAATCGAACTCTGAATTGGTGAATTCAGAAGTGGAACTTGGAGAAACTGTGGAGGTCTCTGAGTACAGAGGTCCAGAGGCCCATGGTAATTTGTCCTGGGGGCACAAAGAAGTCACTGCTATCATTCTAGGATTAAAAACTGGAACAGCGGCCAACATTTCTCCCTCTGGCTTTGTGTGTTGAAGACAGATTAAGTGGGCAAGAACCCTCCTCTCAGTTATGCATTGCACAACTCTTAGGCTCTGAACCAGAGGACTAGGAATCTACCAAAGAAGAGAGTTTTATAAATCCTTTTATACTTGCTCAACTATAGCTTAAGAGAGAAAATAATTGATGTTTAGCAATACCTTAAGAGACAGAAAGCAGGTGGGATCTGTGTTTAGATGAAAATATTCATGTTTCTCAACTGTTTGGCACAAGTTCCCAGACAGATCTGGAAAGACAGCCTTACGGTATGAACACAGTGTGTGCTCTAGTAGTACTTAAGAGCCTTGAAAATCAGCCACGTAAATAAAACACTAATGCAAGCCTCTTAAGCTAAGTACATGAACGGGTTTTATGACTGTCAAAACAATGCAGCAGCAGAATTCTCTCAGTGCTTCAAATCTGCTTTGAATCAGGAGAAATAAAATATTAATTAAGACCCCTCTAATGTGGGAGATACACAAAGAATGTACTGTTGCAGAGTTAATATTCAAGCACAATTAAATTGATGAGAGGCAGGTTTTTTTAGAAGTGTTTTTGTTAAAGCATTAGTAAAAAATACATTCCCTTTTTTTTTCCCCTCCAGGCCTCAGTTGCTGGTGCTTCTGAAACTTGATGAAGATTTGCATGTAAAATACCCTAGGTTGTTAACATTTGCATCTCAGCTGAAAGCTGGCAAAGGTTTGACTATCATAGGATCAGTGATCCAAGGGAATTTCTTGGAAACTTACGGAGAAGCCCAGGCTGCTGAACAGGTCAGTGTTTTAAACAAATTCCTGAAGCAAAAAGGGGTAACGTAAAAGTTTCATAATCATACATGGAAAAAAGCGTATCAGTAAGGCTTCCATGAAACACAGGACTAGTTGAGTAGTACGACAGCTGTTCAGTAAAGGGCTGGCAAACATGCTTCAGCTCCCAATCGTGGCTTTGGGAATACAAGATCATCAATGCTTGCAACCTGTGTAAACAGCCTCACTGCATAAAACTGTCTCGGTTTATAAGGAAGAATTATTATGGAAGTTTATGTGTGCTGGTTAATGGAGGGAAGAGGACTATTTAGTTTTCTGATCATACCAAGAAACATTTCAATAACTGTCAATTATTACAAACTTAGCAAATGTGCTATGTCGCTTTCAGTGTGGTGATAAATTTATTACAAAAAGCATTGAAGGATGGTCCTGAAAATTTGTTAATAAATCATTTCATCTTCCTCACTGTGTAAACGTGATGTCATAGCCCTGCTTACATCTGCATAGTGTCAACATAGTGTTTTCTTCCCCAGAGGCTTTTTATACAAGGAAAACTGTTATAAAGGGAAAACTAATTCATAGGCCTATGTGTTGACCAAGTTTGTTTAGTTTTTAAACAAATAAAGGGTATGGTATTCTTGATAGATGTGGGGGGTTTGGTGCTGATACTTGTAAATTGGATATAATAACACAGCATGCTACATAAAAATCTGAAACTGAAAATCCGAATAAAGTTAATTAATCTTGGGTTTAAAAAGGTGAGTGTATTAGGATTAGAAAATGGAAAGTGAGATAGTAACACAGATATCACTAACTACTACTATGAATAAGAGATTATAGCACAAACCAAAAACCCCTTATCTTAATCTGTTAGAAATAATTATGTTTGGAAGGGAACTACATGTGTTTTAAACGAATATTATTCACAATTAGCGGGCATTTTCTCTTCTGTTTTTTAAGGAAAGCGGATGAGCAGAACTTTGCTTTGAAATGTGTTTTACCTGTGAACGTGTGAACCAGGAATTTACACTGTAATCGCATGATAGAGAAATACTAAGAGTTCCTTTTGGCTGCGAGGTTTTTCCTTCTCTGTCTTGCAGACTATTAAGAATATGATGGACATTGAGAAGGTGAAAGGATTTTGTCAAGTAGTTGTAGCCAATAAAGTTCGAGAAGGAATTGCCCACTTGATCCAGTCCTGTGGACTAGGTGGCATGAAACATAATACTGTGGTTTTGGGATGGCCGTATGGCTGGAGACAAAGTGAAGATCCAAGGTCGTGGAAGACGTTTATAGGTGAGCTTTAAAGGTTCTGTGTGATCAAACATTGTCAACAGAGATGTTTATTACGCATACGGTACGCCCAGGGGGTTTTAACAGAATCCTTGTGAAATTGGTTTTGGTTTTTAGTCTGTTTTTCTAGTATTGATTGTGAAGTAGATAATTTCTCACAAAACTGCTCTATGTTTGAAATGCCACTTCTTGTAGGTAAAAGACCTATGAAAGATCTTTAAAGATTAATTTAGCAGCTAAAACTCATCTGTCTAATGAATGGTTAAAAAATTACAGACTTGAGAGATACCATTTTTATGGCAAACTGTACTTTGTTTCCTAGATAATCTGTCTTCTCACTGGTCCTAACCTATCCATCTCTCTCCACTACTAGAGCTAACACTCTCCTTGCCTATATCCCTCTCCTTCCCCTATGGTCCAGTCACTTCACACAGTCAAATTAGAACAGAGCAGATGCTTTCTTCTCATACTTAGCTTTGAAGATTGCTGCTTTTATTTCAAACATGAAATAGGGCTTGTGTTCCTGTAAGTCTGCTTTAATCCAGCTTTGTCATTTGGTCCGACCTGGCTATACAAGCCTTGCTGCGCATACTTTTCTTTATGTAAGCGATGACTTTTATGCTTTGCTGACATTTGCTCAGTGAGTAACTTTATTTATTTATTAAAACCATAGATCACTCTTGCAGAATTGGACGTAACCGTCTGTTCTTCCCCTTTTGGGCAGGTACTGTTCGCTGCACAACTGCAGCCCATCTGGCTCTGCTGGTTCCCAAAAACGTGTCTTTCTACCCCAGCAACCATGAGCGTTACAATGAAGGCAACATTGATGTGTGGTGGATTGTGCATGATGGAGGCATGTTGATGTTGCTTCCTTTTCTTCTCAAACAGCACAAAGTAAGGAGCTAGCCAAAGAATGTTTGTCACCCAACTGCCTCTGTGTGCATTGGTTTAAAGAAACAAGGTCCAGTAGTGGAGCCTGTATTGATAAATGAGAGTGGATATATTGATAAGTTTGTGTTTCGCAGAGCAAAATATTATTGGGTCAAATACTGAGAGTTTGTGTTCCCCCACCAGGTTTGGAGAAAATGCAAAATGAGAATTTTTACTGTAGCTCAGATGGATGATAACAGCATCCAGATGAAGAAGGACTTGGCTACTTTCCTCTATCAACTCCGAATAGAGGCAGAGGTAGAAGTGGTAGAAATGGTAAGGGATTTGAGCCCGTTTTTCACTTTATGGTGCAAATGGTGGTACTTGGTTATGACTTGATTACAAGCACGATATTTTTTTCTTATTTCTGCAGCACAATAGTGATATCTCAGCATATACTTATGAGAGAACTCTTATGATGGAGCAGAGATCTCAGATGCTGAGGCAAATGAGG